GAGAGAGAGAGAGAGAGAGAGAGAGAGAGAGAGAGAGAGAGAGAGAGAGAGAGAGAGAGAGAGAGAGGAGGGGGACGTGGGCAGCGACAGATAAGACAAGACTGGAGTGCCTGTTACAAGAACCGCTTACAAACAGACAAAGACACAGATAGTAGTCCCTATCAGAAGAACCGCTTAGCGGCCAACGAGGAAGGCAAGCAGCAGCGATAGCAAGGCACAAGGGGTGACCTTTTGCCTACCGGTTCGTTGCTAAGGCGCCCAGCGCACGTGCACGCCCAGGGTCGCTGCTCTCAAGACAGTCAGAACGTGTCCCGATCTGCGCCAGCCGCTGAACTCCTTTCGACGGCTCTCGTGATCTGAGCTTAGCCGCTGAGGTCCCTTCTACAACGGGCATTCTAAATGTGGGTCAGGTAAACTCATTCTTTCTTGCGAAAACTTTTCGAGATGCCCCTGAAATATCGATACCTTTGCGGCGTGCCCCTTTCACGGCCAACTTAACCTGTCGAGCCCTTCTGACAACCAATGATGTTTCCAGAAAACCCCTGGTGTCGTTTGGGCCTGAACCATGTTTCATATGCCCCTACCCATACGTCTCCCAAATTTCCAGTATGCCCCTATCGGATAGCCGTTGGAAACATTTCCTATATGTCCCTACCGGTACCGAGAATCCTTACAGCATGACCCTGTGGCTGTCGTTGACACTCTCGGCCTTTCCCCTGGCCCTGGGAGAGGAGCTACCGGGGCGTATCAGAAATCTGGAGACGTTCCCATCTCTCTCTCTCTCTCTCTCTCTCTCTCTCTCTCTTACACACACACACACACACACACAAAAAAAAAAAAAAGGCTACGCGTAGGGGCATATGGAAAAATTTTCTGGCTGTACTGAACGGCTATCCCGTTGGGGCAAACTGGAAATTTGGCCCCGGTACCACTAGGGACATATTGAAAATGTCTCAGGCCCAAACGACGCCAGGGGTTTTTTGGCAACTTGAATCAATGTCAGAGGGCCAAAGCAGGGTAAGTCGGCCGTCGGAGGGGCAAATCGCAACAAATGCAAACTTCAGGGGCATTTCGAAAACATTCGCAAACAAAATTGAAGAAAACCTCGGCAGGAGAGAAATTGCAATTGCTTGCATACTACAATCTGGCAAAAAAAAAAGGTCACCATCTGCTATCAGTTGTGTGGCCACGCAGACAGCAGATGGATCAATATTCAGAAAGTGGCGGCCATGTCTCATTCAAAAGGACCACCGTGTTTGAGTATGGGCCTCGCTGCACTACTCTAGAGTCTATTAGAGAGTTCGACTAGCCTTGTCAGAGAGGCGAGATTCTCGAAATACCCGACGTCGCCGCACTTACTGTAGAACCTGCTACACTAGCTGCACTCTCGAACCCCCGGGTGTCATCGGACTCTACAAAAGACATGTATCAATACGCTACAGGACAACGCCAGGCTGGTCTGGCCGCCGGGACAGGAGGTCCACTCTCAAAAAAAAGAGCTGGTCGGCGAGCAACTCCCGAGGACACTTGCCAATTCGTGTTTTGTAGGCGGGCGACTCTCGACGTTTCGAGAGTGGGAATATAGCATGCCTTCTGACAGCTCTCGATCGGGTTTCGAGAGTTTCCCGATCGAGAGTTAGTGCAGGGACGACCCACTTTCGAAAATTTGAGAGTCTAGAGTAGTGCAGCGAGGCCCACTCTCGCCATGCACAAACGACAAAAATCATGGCGGTGTATCTTTCCATATTCTAGCGGAAGATTCACTCTCGTTTTGCACATTCAGAGAGTAGTGCAGCGAGGCCCTATGCCGCACACCTAATTCTCAAAATCACAGAAGCAAAATTGCAAAAAACAAAATTGCAGATTTTGCATTTTCTGCAATTTTGCTTAGTGTGTGTGAGTATGCCCTAAGAGCATGCTCACACTAGCTATACCTCAAGTGCGCAGTTCGCAGCCAGGATGGCTGCATAGACATGGATGTCATTTGTCGTTTAGCGAAACTTGCTTTTGGCAAAATGTCGTCGACAAGCTAATGGGGTATACAGGAAATCGTTGTGCACATAATAAGGGTGTGGTTGCTGACCGGGGACAGACCGGTGGTTTCTTGGGGCAGCACGGTGGCGGGCGTGGAAGAGGGTGACACGGTCGTGGGGTGAGTGCAGGCAGTGGGAGGTCATTGTCGAGTTTCTAGTTTAGGAAATTTTCATGTTTTCATTTATTTTTTTCCGAGGCCAGATACATGCAGCTCCGGCGTGGGGCGGTCGTTCGTCCACATCAGGTGCATTCAAATGAGTCCAATTTTTTTAGACGTATTCATGAATCTTGCGTTGAAGACAAAGAGGTAGCATACCGATCACGGCTTGGCACGACATAATGAATCTGGCTCTGAAGATGAGCAGGTGCATGTATAAATATCTCCCTCATAGGAGAGAAAATTGTGTGGGGAAGGTCGAAAACAACAACACTGTCTACAAAATTTTGTCTTTCGTTTTTGTTCTTCTGCCTGCATATCTGCTTTTGCACTGTATTGTACCTGGTCGTATGTATTTACATAATAAAGGTGTTTTGTTCAGGGGATAGCAGCAATTTGCCTGCTTCAGCGACACGCCCACCACCCTGGTTGCAACCCCACGCCCAACGTGGTATCAGTGTCTCTGATCCCGTGTATGGTCACGACAAGATATATCTGAGCCCAATTACGAACAAAAAATAGTACAAAACTCATATTGCGAGTATGCCCTAACTGTTTCGCCCAACCCATACTTCACAAGGGTGGAGCGTTCAGACTCGCCTGAAGAGATGCAATGTGTCCTCTTTCTAGGAATGTTTTCTGGCTATGAAGCCATGGAATTGACCCGAGGAGGTGCCACGGGTAAGATAATTGTTTCGCTTAGGCCATCCTATGACAAGGGTAGAGAGTTCTCACTCGCCTTCCCGTTAGGTGCAGATGACCACCAAGGCGGTCAAACCTATTATTTTGTCGAACCTCACTCTTGCCCAAGGTTGGACTTGCTGCATCTGGACAGTAACCAATGCTCCACTACTCACCAAATAAGCAAAATGAGAATGAACCTTCGGTTATAACATAGGAAGATGCACCGCCATATTTTTTATCTTTTGTGTATGTATTATGGGAGTAGTGGAGTGAGGCCCCAAAGTGAACCACAGCAATGTCAAAGAATCCCATGAACCCTTGTCATGACGATGGATGGAGTTCCTTTCATGGTTGCCTAAGGCCTCGCCATGCCTCTACCATAGTATTCCCTCGTGTTCCCCTTCCCCCTCACTTGTACATCGGCATGGTCATCAGGGGCAGTGATGGTTTGAACCACCACTATATATAGGGCTCACCTGCGCCCTTTGCCAGTGCATACGGGCAAGGATTCGCCTTATCCCCCTCTGCCACCAATACCTTTTCAGCCAAAGAATATAATATGACGTGTGCAAGCAGCTACAACTATGGGGCTCGACCTCTAAAGCAAAATGGTTGGCAACACTAAGTAAAAGGAGGCCCATTGTCACGCCCCCACTACTTTCAGGGCCTGGTTCGGTCTTCCTCCCCGGGCTGAGTGCGGTGGGTTGGTGGACTGGTAGGCTGTCACGCCACATTTTAGGTGAGTATATATATAATAAAAATAAAAATGTACCTAGTAAACACTCTTCGTCACATTCAATCATGCAGTCGAGTAGTTAGGGATATCCCTCCTGCCAGTGACGACAAGGCTTAGAGTGAGGCGTTCGGGTTTGTCGCCTGCACTTGACCCCGTATAAAGGTCAGACTCGAGGTCACCGAAGTCCCTATTATTAAGGATTTTTGCAAGTAGCCTTGAGTGTAACATGTGTAATGCGATGAAAAACACAACATTTTATGCATCATAGGACAAATGACACCGAAATAATAGTAAGAAGGTAAAAGAACAGACTATGCAAGAGCATGACCAGAGACACGAGACTTAAGAGTTATAGTACACATGGTATGCAAGGAGCATCCATTGGAGGACTGTTGTCACTAATAAATTATAATAATGTCATAATACATCACAATGACAAGAAAGAAAGAGTCTTAGTCGATAATGATAACTGGTACCCCCTCGTGAGTAAGCCCTACTATTAAGGACTTCATATCTGGTACACGATGGTCTTCCTCATCATTATGAACCCGAGTGGCTACCGATTATGGGACCACGTAGCTGATATCAAGAGGCGTTGCAGGATCTATCTTGCTGATGTACGCCATACATCTTGCCAACTCCTCGTCTACAACGCTCCTGAGATAAAATTCCTCTCCAAGGGTAATATCGTTCGTAGCTCCGATTTGTATCTCAATATGTCCCCTCTTGTTAATGTAGACGTATGGAACCTAAAGGAAACAGTCTCCGTAAAGTGGTTTCCAGAAGACCTGCATCGCAAAATATACCTCAACCAGGTGATTGAATCCATCGCCGAGATATGAGACCGGTCCTTCCCCTCTTGGAGGTCCAACAACCGCCTCGGTCTTAGGCTCATCTCGCATAAAGGGATAAATCTCCCTTGAGCAAATATCGTGCCAGAAGATATGCAATTCATCTTAATGTCGCTCTCCGTCGCCGCCACTTACCAGTCTCTAGAGCTTAGGCTATCCCCAACAGACTCAGTCTCCCAATCGAAGGAGTCACCAAGATCGATGTCACTTATGCTGCAAGGGTCAAGGTCGAACTCATCGCTCTCCGACCTCTGTGTGCAAGTAGTGGGAGCGTCACCGCTTACCGATCTCCAATGCTTAGGTTATCACCAACAAACTCAATCTTTGTGGGTATCCCAATCGAAGTAGTCACCAAGATCGATGTCTCGTATGCTGCAAGGGTCAAGGTCAGACTCATCGGTCTCCGACCTCCGCGTGCAAGTAGTACTTGAGATCCCGGATCTAGCTATCTCGACCCTGATCCGCTATCGGTGAGATTACCCTTACAAGGGTATCTACCCTGTTTTTTTGCAAGTGAGAGAGAATAAGTTTGATTTAAAGTTTGAATATACTGCGTGAGTCGTGGTTGTGCTTTGAGTACGCTGACTAAATGATTGACCAGAGTAGAGAGTGTGTGGGCATGCAGACTTAAGGCGCATGTGACCTCTCTTCCTATTGATGGTTCTAAAGCCGGCGGGATTGACCGACCAAATTTTTGTCTCTGATTTAAACTATAATTAAAAGGTTTCGTATTTTGATTGGTACGCTTGATCGTGACATAAGCGCACGTACGGAGGACGACGTTGACGACGGCATGGTTTTGCATGATGAGCGGAGTGAATGTAAGGATAGGAACGCGAGTACGGGTGGCCTCGCGGTGAAACACGGAAGGTTGATGGCCGTGGGATTTAGTTGGTAGGCCGAGGTAGGGCCTTGGACATGTCTTCAAGTTGGTAAACCCGCGTGCCACGTAGTACCCGTTTTTTATAGATTGCCGTTAGGAAAGGGATCAGCGTTGGG